TGGTTTTTTTTTTTTTTAGGCTGACCTAGCAGAGCAGCTTGGCTGATCCAGGCTTTAAACTGCTGGTCAGAAATGCCAACACCCTTCCTCGTTCCCACCCAACAGCCAGGCCCAGCACTACTCCCCCTCACTGCAAGGGTTCAACCAGGGGGAAAAACACCCACCGAGGCCATTCTTATTACAAGTCTGTATTTCTTCCAAAAATAAATACTTAAAAACTCTGCTCCAAAGCCAAGAGCAGGGGCCAGCCTGTGCTCAAGAGGAGCAGAGCCAGCAGGCAGGCTCTGGGACAGTCTCTGCTCAGCCTGACTGGGCACTGGGGGGCTCCAGGGCACGGGGTGATGCCCGGACGAACACCACGTCCTGCCTGTACTTCATGGCAGTGGGTGGCTGGCGCCTCAGCAGCAGGTCACCACTGTCTTTTGGGTCAGGGTCATCATAGATGGTGGAGATGAGGATGGGAGAGTCCCTCCGGGGCTTCTTCACCCTGCTGAAGGTTGGTAGTTTCTCCCCATGGTACCTGGAGGGAAAGGGGAAATGTTTGGGCCAACGCTGCCGTGGCAGTGGGACACACCCAGCTCAGCTGGCAGCTCTCACTGCCAGCAAGAACATTGTTCCCTCTGTGCTGACCTCTTGGATGTGTTTAAAGGAGTATCTCTGTGCCAGGACAGGCTGAGAGCCCTGGGGCTGTTCAGCTGGAGAAGAGAAGCCTCAGAGGGGATCTGAGCAGTGCTGAGCAAGAGCTAAAGGGCCCCGGGGGGCAAGAGGCTGGGGCCAGACTCTGCTCAGTGGTGCCCAGAGACAGGACAAGGGGCAACGGGCACCAACTGGAACCCAGGAGGTGCCACCTGAGCAGGAGGAGAAACTTCTTTGGGGTGAGGGTGCAGAGCCTGGAGCAGCTGCCCAGAGAGGCTGTGGAGCCTCCTGCTCTGGAGAGATCCCAAACCTGCCTGGCTGTGACCCTGGGCACCCTGCTGTGGGTGAGCTGCTGGAGCAGGGGGGTTGGAGAAGATGATCTCCAGAGGTCCCTCCCCATCCCACCATGCTGGGGTTCTGGGATTTCCTTCATGTGCTTCAGGGGTGAAGTGGATCAACACAGGACAACCAGGATTCTGCTATTCCTGCCTGTGAGATTGCTCCAGACCAAGAGCCAGCCCTCAAGTGAAACCCACATCAACACAAAGCCTCCAAAAACCCCATGGAGAAGGTAGGGGGCAGGTGCACAGCTACAGCTGTGGTCACTTGGGCCTTTCCCACCACATACCACAGCAGAGGTGACCCTCAATCCTCAAACACAGCACTCCCTCTGCATTTGTGTGCTACGTGAACTTGCAAGTGGTTCCAGCCCTACTCTAACACCACAAGCTCCTCTAAGGATCCCTGGATTGCCAGGAATTAGCTTTGGAATGCTGTCATAGGCCCTGCAACTAGCTGTGCAGAGAAAGGCCCATCCCTGGGACAATTCTGGTTCATATTTTGGTGCCTTTGTGGCCCGCTGGCTGCTGTGTCAGCTCAGAGAGCCCAGACAGAGGCTCCAGGCACAGGCTGGCAGGTCAGGGCTGGCTACTTACCCCAGCCCCCTCTTGCATCTGGGGTTCTGACCCTCATTGTCCAGAGCTTCAGCCATTCCAGAGTTGCTGCTCCCTAGGCCCAGCCCCTCCGTCCAGCCCTGCTGCTCCAGCAGCTTCCTGCCAAAGCCCTGGGAGAAGAGAAAAAAAGGTCACAAAGTCCCCAGACAAAATCCATCCTCATCTTCCCAGGACCCTCTGCCCACTCCCTGCATCCAAAACCTCTCCTCCTCGTTACTCCCAACCCCTGGGCACCACCACCACAGCTTCTGTGGCCCTCCCTGGTGCCTCCAGCACACGTATCCAGAGCTCACCTTGGTGTACCTCTCAAAGGTGCCAATCTGCTGCCCTGCAACAGACCCATCCTCCAAACCCCCCCTCAGCCGCTGCTCCAGCAACATCCGGACCGAGTCCCGAGCGTCCTTATCACCCCCCTCTGGGGAGAGAGAAGCAAGAGTCAGAGCAGCAGAGCTCAGAAAGCCTCTCACTGCTGTCATTTCCCCCAGAGCAGCAGGCAGCAGGGAGGCAGAACCTGTTCTTTTTGGCAGCTCTCGTTGCCAGACGAGAAAAACGTCGTTTCAAAGCGCTCTGAGGTCTTGGATGCTTCCAAAGGAAGCCCAAGAGTTCCCCACTGCAGAAATTCTGCAGGGTCAGAATTTCCCAGCCTCCCTGGTTTCCTGGGGCCAAGGGGGGGGTTCAGCTCAGGTACCTTTGTCATAGTAGATGCTCATGTCCACGTCCCAGTCGTCTGCAGTCTGCTCGTCAAAGTCTGCCGAGGGAAGGAAAACACCACTCAGGGGGGAGCTGTGGGAGCCTGACTCAAAAAGAGCTGTTGCTGGTGGCCCAGCTCCCCAATTTCTTTCACAAAATGGGAAGAAATCAGTAGGAGAGACCCCACAAACCACAGTGCTCAGACAACAGGCTCTGGCTGCTGCACTGAACCACTGCAGGGGATGAAGGGGAGGTTTAGTGAAGGGAAGGTTTAGAAAGCGACAGGGGGACGCCTGTACCCACAGCTGCTGCAGGAGCCTCCTGGGGGGTTAGTGACACCCCCTCGGGCCCCACGGTGACA